ATTGTGACACCAGATCTAAGTGGTGGCACTGGTCACGTATCCACTGTTAGGCGTAACACACCGCTTTAATGACACTGACTGCTATTCAATCTATAACAGTGAAAAAGTGTTTTTTTTTTAAATCAAGCTATTGTGACACCAGATCTAAGTGGTGGCACTGGTCACCGTATCCCACTGTTGGCGTAACACACTACGCTTTAAGGGACGCTGTTGCTATTCAATCTATAACAGTGAAAAAGTGGGTTTTTAAATCCAAGCTATTGTGACACCAGATCTAGTGGTGGCACTGGTCACCGTATCCACTGTTAGCGTAACACACCCTTTAAGGACACTAACTGCTATTCAATCTATAACAGTGAAAAAAGTTTTTTGTTTTTAAATCCAAGCTATTGTGACACCAGATATAAGTGGTGGCACTGACTGGGGAAATGGGCACAGTATGCACTGTGAGCCTGACACAGAAGCTGGCAGCAGTGGCAGACAACTGACTGCTATTCAATCTATAACAGTGAAAAAAGTTTTTTGTTTTTAAATCCAAGCTATTGTGACACCAGATGTAATTGGTGGCACTGACTGGGGAAATGGGCACATTATGCACTGTGAGCCTGACACAGAAGCTGGCAGCAGTGGCAGACAACTGACTGCTATTCAATCTATAACAGTGAAAAAAGTTTTTTGTTTTTAAATCCAAGCTATTGTGACACCAGATGTAAGTGGTGGCACTGACTGGGGAAATGGGCACAGTATGCACTGTGAGCCTGACACAGAAGCTGGCAGCAGTGGCAGACAACTGACTGCTATTCAATCTATAACAGTGAAAAAAGTTTTTTGTTTTTAAATCCAAGCTATTGTGACACCAGATGTAAGTGGTGGCACTGACTGGGGAAATGGGCACAGTATGCACTGTGAGCCTGACACAGAAGCTGGCAGCAGTGGCAGACAACTAAGTGCAATTACATTACATAGAAAAAAAAATTAAAAAAAGCATACCCTAACCCTAACCTAGCTATGCTTTTCCCTATCTAATGAACAGCAGCTACACTTTCCCTCCTCTTACTAAAGCATGCAGCTTGAGAATGAATCTAAAATGGATGCCTTTCAGGAGGTGGGAGGGTCTGCTAGGGAGGGTGTGCTGCTAATTGGCTGGAATGTGTCTGCTGACTGTGAGGTACAGGGTCAAAGTTTACTCAATGATGACGAATAGGGGGCGGGTCGAACCGCGCATATGTTCGCCCGCCGTGGCGAACGCGAACATGCTATGTTCGCCAGGAACCGTTCGCTGGCGAACCGTTCAGTACATCACTAATAATAATATTATTATTTCAGACTCAATGTAACGTGATACCTTCCGCTATTTGATTTTTTTTGTCCCCATGCATATTATGATATTATGACATGTCTCAACTTTCCTATTAAACATATAACATGTAATGCTTTTAAACTTGCAATAAAAATGTAAAATAAAAAAAACTTGATGCGGATATTTTTAATTTGTTTTCTTTTTTTAATTTTTTTTTACGTGTTAAATAACTGTGAGACTCGCAGGTCTCCGTAAACATTTAGTATGTAATTATGTTGGGTTTAGTTAGTCATATATATTTTTTGGGCTCGCAGGCCCACAATGTTGTCGGACACGCAGGTCCCTTACATTTTTAAAGCAATTATTAGAGCATATGTCATGAGTATAGAGTGTAGGTTTGTTTTGGTGTCTCGTTGTCGTGTAGGTGTTCTACTCTATGTCTACTGCTTTAAGTGTTGTGGTGGATTACTAGTCTGCGTGTTGGTTTTCTGCTCGTGTATGTCCAACCATCTGTATCTTATCGGGCTTCAATGCATGTCCGCTTTAAAGGAC